GTCCCTGAGGGGGGGATTTAGGGAGAGCAAACTGGATGAAGGCAGTCAAAAGGTACAAACTTCTAGTTATAAGATAAATAAGCACTAAGGATGTAATGTAAAACATTGATAAAAATAACTAACACTGCTGTATGTTACATATGAAAGTTTTTAAGATAGTAAATCTTAAAAGTCTTTATCACAGGGAAAAATACATTTTTTCTATTTTTTTAATTTTGTATATATATGAGTTGATGGATGTTCATTAAACTTATTATGCCAATCATTCCACGATGTAAGTCAGATCATTATGCCATAAACCTTAAATGTGTACAGTGCTGTATGTCAATTACATTTCAATAAAACTAGAAGGAAAAAAATAAAGCACATGGGAATTTTCTATATATTTATATGTGTACTTTATATATATATATATATATATATATATATGCACAATGAAATACTGTTCAGCCATAAAAAAGAATGAAATTTTTCCACTTGAAACAGCATGGATATATTTGGAAGGTATTATGCTTAGTGGATAGGTCAGACAGAGAAAGAGAAAAACTGTATGTTATCACTTATATATGGAATCTAAAAAATAAAACAAATCAGTGAATATACCAAAAAAGAAATGTATTCAGAGATTTAGAGAACAAGCTAGTGGATACCAGTGGGGAGAGGAAAAGAAAGAGGGATAGTGGTAGGGTATTAAGAATACAAACTACTATGTATAAAACAAATAAGCTATAAGGATATACAGTATAGGAAATATAGCCAATATTTTATAATAATATAAATGGAGTGTCACCTTTAAAAATTGTGAATCACTACTTTGTACACTTGAAAGATAATATGTAAATCAACTATACCTCAATAAAAAAAATTAAACATATGTATAAAAATAAAGCAGTCAATTTAGCTCATAGCCATCCAGGGCTGGGGTCGGGGCGGGGGATGACTCATGCCTTATGACAAAGACTGGAATAACCGTGCATGTTAAAGAGGGCAATAACAATAAGTATACTACTAATACTACTACTAATTATTATGCACAGTAAATAGAAACACA